TTACAGGAAATTCGGGCTGGGGGTTGCAGGAGGGTGGGGTACCTCCTGTACTCCTTTGTTTTGGGAACCAGGTTGTTAACCTTTCCATGATGATAGGCAGTTAGGGAGCATGGATCATATTCCAAATGTCCCTGGGCGCACAACTCCCAGCTAGGTTAGAAAGTGCTTTTCCTAATTAGGACAGAACAACCACAGTTAACAGAACATGATCAATATTTCTTATAACGATAGCTAACAATCATGGTCAATAGAGCATGATTAATACTTCTGCCCCCAACAATTTGGGATTCTTAATTCCACCTCCAAAGGGGCTGTCAGAAGTGGTCCAATCTTTACCACTCCTTCCTGTCCTTGAAGTTCTGGGAAAAGGAGAAACTCACCAAATATTAAGTAAAACAAGCATGTTTCTAACACATAGAACTCTGAAAACTATGAAGGTCATAAATATATATTACAAAGGGTGTGAATTTCTTCTGAAAACTGAGGTTTAATAGCAATCCCACGGCCTTTCCAGGTCAGGCGTCAAGACTACACATGGGAATAAGGCACTTGTCAGAGGGAAGGGTGGGAAGGCAGGACAAGACACCCACCACAGGGCCTATCACAGCATTCTCGCTTATTTGCAACCAGAGGAAGGGTAGAGCTGCCAAAGTCCACCAAAGCTGATAAGCTATCAGTATTCCATTTAGGGGAATACAATTAATTATTAACATAGCTTGAAATCAAAAGGTCTTAACTCTCCATATCCACCCACACACAAACTTCTGTAGGTGTACCCTAAGGCCATCCTTGCTGCTGAGTAGTTAGTACTCAGTCTTGCACACCTAATGCCAGGTTTGGGATCCCAACTCTATCTTTTCTCTACCTATATTAGTATGCCCCTTTTTCCTCTCATTACCCCACTTCCACTTGTCAAAATTCTAACTCTTCAAAGCCACCTCCCTTCAGAAAGCTGCTTGATTTCTCTGAAGCATTATTTGATCTGCCCTTTCAAAAAATTTTTTTTACTGTAACCCACATTAAAAAATATTTTACACTGCAACTTCAGTACAATAGAGCAAACAAAAATTTTATAAAATCTCTTTAGTAGATGCAGTGTACTGATATTTTATATTCTATTTCAATTTTTTAAGCCCTGTAGGAGTGGCTCGGTTGAGGGTCACCCCATTCAATTTCCAGTCAGAGCACGTGCCCTGGTTTCTGGCTCTATCCCAGTAGGGGGTGTGCAGGAGGCAGCCAATTGATGTTTCTTATATCGATGTTTCTCTCTCTCTTCCTCTCTGAAATGAATAAAAACTTATTTTTAAAAAAGTGGTAATAGCCCTGGCTGGTGGCTCAGTTGGTTGGAGCATCCTCCTGTACACTAGTAAGGTTTCAGGTTTGATTTCTGGGCAGGGCACATACCTAGGTTTCAGATTTGATCCCTGTCGGGGCAAATACAGGAGGCAACCACTTGATATTTCTCACATTCATATTTTTCTCTCTCTCCCCTCCCTCTTCCCTCCCCTCCCTCCCTCTCCTCTCCCTCCTTCCTCTCTCTCTAAAATCAATAGAAAACATATCCTCAGGTAAGGATTAAATAAATTAAAATAAAAATAAAAAGCGGTAACCAACCCACTAAATATATTTCATGACCCATTGTTGGGTCATGATCCACAGAATTAAAACATTTTATATGGTTTGTGGTATTTACATTTTCCCCTTAAAATTATTTCACTTCTATCCCTAACCTACTTACTAGACCTTAATCTGTCTTGATTGCCAAATATTTCTGTATATACCTGCATCCTCCACAAACATAACATCTTGCACTAACAGATTCTCAATAAATATTCGTTGGATGAATGAATAGGTTAGCTCACTAAGTTTGATGTTGGGCAATATTTAAGAGAACTAAGCACAAAAATCTGACATTTTCAGGACTGCTATTTCCCTCTGGCAAGATAGCATAGCTACCTGACAAAGGATAAGCAAACAGATTTCCTGTAGCTGAAGGGAGTGCCAGCTTTGGGAAAGAAACCAAAGGAATGAGTCCCCCAGCCTTGTATGTGTATAGGGTGGGACTGGGGACTAAGAATATTAAAGCACCTTGTGGTTTGTGGCAGCAAGGTAGGCAATTTGACTCACAGGCTGGGGAAGATCAACTCCCCAGCTATCAGGACTGTTTGAGAGGGACTGAAGAGAGAATCCAGTGACCAGCCAACCAGGTTTCTATGATATTTTCAAGGAGAAAAATGAGTTTTCTGTGTTTTGGCATGACTTAACTAATTTGAAGACCAGAGGGAATGTGAAGGTTCTAGTTTACCCAAATCATGTCAGAGGACCAGCAACTTCTGATGTGATTTTCTCTATTGTATTTCTGTTCTCAATTTCATTAATTTCTGCTCTGATCTTCATTAGAAAATATACTCTTGTTCTTGCTTTTGAATGAAAATAGCTGGGGACAGAATTCCAACTTGATGTTGCAGTAAGTTATTTTTTTTGTCTTAAACAACTGTCGTGGTTGATGACAGTCTGTGTTGAAACTTTTCTTTGCAAGGAATCTTTTTCACATCTGGCTGTTTTTGTTTTGTTTTGTTTTTTAATCCTTACCCAAGGATATGTTTGTTGTTAGAGAAGGAAGGGAAAGAAACACTGATGTGCGAACCACTGATTGGTTGCCTCCTGTACGCACCCCGACCGGGGCTTGAACCCAAAATCTAGGTATGTGCCCTGACCCGGAACCAACCCCACCACCTTTGGTTGAATGGAACAAAGCTCCAACCAACTGAGACACCAGCCAGGGGTCACATCTGGTTGTTTTTAAGATTGTCTTTGATGCTCTGGAGTTTCACTCCAGCAAACCTGGGAGTGAGCATGCTTCCCTTTATCCTCAAAGTTTTCTCAGGTAGAAGATTCACATTTGTCTCTAATTCTGGAAAATTCTGTCTTTGTGTCTTCCATATTGTGTTGCTCATTCTATTCTAACCCGCAGGAACTCCTTAGACACATATTGGACCTCCTCCTCTGCTCTCCCTTCTCTTCCATTGTCCCCATTCACACCTCTCCCTGCTGCAATCCAGTTGACTTAGCATTGGTTTCTACAGGGCTCAGGGAGCTCACCAGTCTGGCCCGATCTTCATGGTAATTTTTCCCACATGCTAGTAATGTAAATTAGGACTGCACACGCCTGTATGTGGCCGTTGGAGATTTTTCATGAATGCCTTATTACCTTTGTGTTTCCTTAACTGCTGCCCCAGGATGGCTGGCAGGGACTCTACTCCCTTTCCAGGCTCCAGATCTCTTTATCTAGATTTCACTCCAGCAATCACACACCTAATAGGGACTGAGGCCACATCTCCTATCCTAACCTGAAATAAAAAACCTCAGGGCTCCTGCATTTTATCCATAACCGCGGGAGCTGTGTTGTCATCATCTATTACCATTCTGGCTCTTTTTTTTTTTAGTATGTTTTTACTGATTTGAAAGAGAGAGAAAGAGAAACATCAATGATGACAGAGAATCACCAATTGGCTGCCTCCTGCATGCCCCCCACTGAGGATTAAGCCCAAAACCTGGGCATGTGCCCTGAGTCGGAATCAAAGGAGCAACCTCCCAGTGCACAGAACAAAGCCCAACCAAGTCACACCAGCCATAGCTTATTATTGAGTTTTAAGAGCTCTTTGTATATTTTGGATGAGTAGGTTATCAGATATATCTTTTTGTTTGTGAATCCTCACCCAAGGACATTTTCCCATTGATTTTTAGAGACAGTGGAAGAGAGGGAGGGGGAGAAAGAGAGAAACATAGATGTGAGACATACCGATTGGTTGCCTCCCACACACACCTGGACCAGGGCTGGGGATTGGACCTGTAACCCAGGTATGTGCCCCTAACCGGGAATTGAACCTGTAACCCTGTGGTCTGTGGACCGATGCTCTAACCACTGCGCCATGCCAGTGAGGGAGCATCATGATACATCTTTTGCAAATATTTTCACCCAGTCTGTGGCTTGTCTTTTCATTCTCTTGATTTTCCTAATTTTTCAAAGAAAGAAAGTCCAGACAGGTAGTCACTAAGAAACTCAGATATAAAGCCACAAAGAGAGGGAGTAGGGTCTTCTTCAATAATCCCAAATCACTGAGAAATTTCCAGGCACAAATTTTAACGTTTTCAATATAAAGAGCTAGGCATTTGGAAAACATCTTCCTTGCCTGGCTGGATAGCTCAGTTGGTTAGAACATTGTCCTGATACACCAAGGTTGTCGGTGTATCCCAGGTCAGGGTACATACAGGAGTCATCCAATAAATGCATAAATGAGTGGAATAACAAATCAGTGTTTCTTTCTCTCTCTTAAATTAATAAAGAAAAAGGAAAAGAAAATGTCTTCCTTTTTTACACTGTTCAACAAAATGCTGCCCAAGTAAAAAGGGCCTGTAGCACTGTATAGAAATTAGGTTCTTTCTAGAATGAGTTCAAAAACCACTGCATCATTTAAGAATGGAGTCTCTAAATAACTAGAAAGGGATGTAGTGATGCAGCAAGCAACCAAGGTGCTTTGGTAAGGTGTTTTTAAGGGCTACAGACACAATGCAAAGAACATGCACAAAAAGGCAAGCATTAGAAAAAGGGGAGGGGAGCTGGCTCTCACACAGAAATTGTCTGACGGGAAAGAGATTCAAAACCAAGACACAACACACCACACACACACACACACACACACACACGCGCGCGCGCCTCATTTGTCCCAGAAGTAAGACTGTTAGTGTCTCTTCCAAGAATATCTTACTACCCAGGTCACAGTGAAATTACCTGGCTACTAATACAAGAGTTGCACCTTGCACACTGAGGAAAAAATTAATAATCCTAACAAGTGTCTCTCTCTGAAGGAAAAAACAATATCACTGTATTGACATTATTTTAAACACAACTACACATTTATACAAATTTGTTTTCATTTCCCACTTGGTGACCCAATCATTTCATATTGACTGAAAAAACAGCAAGAAAACCAGGAATAGAAAGTGAAGAAATTTTGTATTATATTCAAGTATTTGTGGGGTTTTTTTATTATTATATAAGAGAAAATGAGTATTAAGAATCCAACTTCCAGAGAAAAACTCAAAATGCTTTTAAAGAGAGAATCAGAAACCTGACAGACACCAGTGCTCCAATGTGTCTGATTCAGAGGTTTCAGAATTCCAGGTTTTCACCTGACCTTAAGAGCCTCACTCCAAATGAAACTGGAGTGCACTTGGGCCCATCAACACCAGAGCTCCTCAACCCCTGCTGGGCTCTGCCACAAACTGATACTTTGCTTGACTTTCTTCTGAGGAGGAGTTTCAAGCTAATGTTTCTCTTCTTACACACTGTCATATAAAATAGGAATTTCTGCTTAATCCCCTCCTGTCATCACACCAAAAAATAAATACAAGTTTGAAAAGGTTAAATAAAACTGGCTTTTAAAACCCAGTTAAAGCAAGACAATACTGAAGTAACCCTGAAGGGACTGGAAGATGATTTTAAAACTGGGAAAATAAATACAAAAAAACACTGAAACCCACAGGCACGGTGACAACTTTCTAAACTGAAATGTGTGGGCTTTGGCAGAAGTGTCATGTTTTCCAAAGCCAACTTCTGGAAACCTTAACCTGGATTCAGAAAAATTCCTAACAAAATGAGTCAACAGCCAGGAAAAGGTTACTGAGCAAGGTTCAAGAAAAACTCTCACCCCATCATAAATCCTCCTTGCTATCGAATTTTACCTGTTCTGATTCTTAATTCAAAAAATGAAACTTACTAAAAATCAGTAACAAAGAGCAAGGGGGTGGGGGTGAGGGAAGTAGGAAGAAATCAACATAGTCTACTGTAAAGTAACTAAAATATATAGAAAAAAATGATCTGGCCTCTCTCAGGAGGCCACAGGAGAGCAAAACACCCCTTTCAAAGCCAGCTTAAGTTATAGGTGTCATAAACTCAGTCCCCAGAGAAGATTCGGTCAGCAAGGGCCTGACTATATACCACCAGCTGCTCTTACTACGTTTTCCACACTTGCCAGCAATAGTAATATCTTGAAAAACTCTGCCTCACAGGCCTTTTTATTACCTTTCCCAGTCACCGAAATAAAGTAACTCTTCACTTTAAAAAACTTGTGGTGACATCATTCATTATCACTTCTGGTGTCAGAAATGGGAAATGCTTAGTAAGCAGAGCTTCTAGGTGTAATTGCTGCTTCTGTGTGTTTCTATAGCTTCTGTTGGCTTTTGCAGGCTCTTAAAGGTTCCCCCATATTCACCCACTCCATCCATGCAGTAGCAGTATCACACCCATTTTCTCTACAAAGGCAACGTGACAATTTCCAGCTGATACTTAGAATGGAACTTGCTTCTTGGTGATACCAGGTTTAAAATAGAAAAAACGGGAAAGAAAGTATCTTATTCTACTGGGTTGACAAAAGGGAAAACATCTACACAAAAATCCCTTCAGTCTCTTGATCCTGCATGAGTCACGTGCAGAATCTAATTCCTCTAATCAGCCCATATCCTGGTTGTCCAGTCACAGGAAGAATAGGTTCTCACACAGCTGGATGGCTGGTTCATGATGCAAGATTTGTCCTGATAGGAAAGCTAGCTTGTGGGCATACTTGCAAGGAGCTGGAACTCTGATGGTACCAGGCCAATTCCAGTACATGTGGCACAGTTTGAAAGTCAACCTGCAGCCCAAGAAGAAAATATTATCCTTAATACTTTCCATCTTCATTCTGGGGCATGATTATGTACTTATGGGTGCATACTTTCCAGCAAACTGGGGAATTAAGGAATACATGATGCACCTTTTTTTAAAAAAAATTTTTCCTGGCCGGGCGTGGCTCAGCGGTGGAGCGTCGACCTAGGATCCAGGTGATTAGGGTTCGATTCCCGGTCAGGGCACATGCCTGGGTTGCAGGCGTGATCCCCAGTCGGGGGTGTGCAGGAGGCATCTGATCAATGACTCTCTCTTCATTGATGTTCCCCTCTATCTCTCTCTCCCCCCTTTCCTCTCTGAAATCAATAAAGATATATTTAAAAAAAAAAAAATTTGTTTTTTACATGACTTAACTTTTGGAAACCATTTTTTTAACTGATTTTTTTTTTTTTTTTTTTTAATTTTAGAGAGAGAGAAAGGGAAGAGAAACATCAATTTGTTGTTCCACTTATTTATGCATTCATTGGTTGATTCTTGTTATGTACCCTAACCAGGGATCGAACCTGTAACATTGGCATATCAGGACGATGCCCTAACCAACTGAGCTATCCACCATCGCTGGGAATCTTTAAGTGGAATTGTTTCTGTTTCCACCATTTCTAAGTCAAGAGGACATGGGTGAATTCCCTCACTTTAGGTGCCCCTGTTTTTATATTAAAACAAGAATTTTTTTTTTGCCTCAAGAGCAGGCTACAGAAGGGTAAATACCCCAGCAAAGTATTTATATAATCTGAGCTTAAGAGCTTTGTATATCAAATCAGGCTGTATCTCATAATCATGAGCAGTTTTAAAAATATATAAATGCCTCAGAATGCTTAGGGGTGAAGCCTGGGCATCAGTATTTTTTTAAGCTCTTCAAGTAAATTTAATGTACAATAGGATTACCAGTCACTCCTCAAAAAGACACCATTATCATGAAAGACATGAAGAAACAAACTCAAGGAGAAACTATTACTGGGGGTGGGCAGTGACTCTACCTTAGTTAGCTGGTCAGAGTAAGAAAGAGTTGCTGGTCAGCTCACCTCTGCATATGATCAGGGCTCAGGTTTGCAGTGTTGAGGACACACACGTAATGGGTAGGAATGCCACAGCCCTGCCGTACATGATGGGCCAGGAGGTAGAAGTCCACCCTGTAAAGAAAAGAGCAAAGCAATGGTGCGGCTGGGTCTGACCAAACAGATGGGAAAGACCTTGGAGATCACTGCAGTTCAAGTAACAGGCACAAGGACACACAGGAACCAGACCATAACTAGAACTCAGGTCTCCTGACTCAACAGGCTATTCAAGAATTGTGGTAGAAACTAATGTTCTGTGTGCAGAGCGTTAAGCATGCATGATCTTAAGAAAATATATGTTCAACAGTTTATACCTAAGAGGTAAAAACTTTGTTGTTGGTTTGTTTTTTCCTAACAGTTTTTTTGAAAGCTTTATTTTTTTTAAAGATGGAAACATGTATGTATTTAGCACATTTTGTTTTCAATTACAGTTTACATTCAGTATTACTTTCTATGTTTCAGACATACAACATAATGGTTAGACAATTATATACTTTATAAAGTGTTCCTCCTGGTACTTCCAGTACCCACCTGGCACCATATGTAGTTATTACAATATTATTGATTATATTTCCTATGTTATGCTTCATATCCCCATTAAAGCCTTATTTTTTTAACATAAAAATCTCTGAGGATTCCATTCCACATCTCTCCACACAACCTACCCATTCCAATACCCAGGGAATGGATAACTTCTGCAACCTATTCTTACTGAAATGTCACGTTTTGTCCACTTACCACTCACAGCTTGTAATTGTATGATCTACCACAGTCCCAGGGGAAGGAGTTGAGAAGTGTTCAGTAGCAGCCAGGTACAGATTGGTGCTTATTTTCTTCTGAACTACAAATACCACCATCTTGGGCTGATAATTCTCAAAAGCTTCAAAACACTTCTGCAGCTGAGGAATCTCATAGTTGGCAACTGTCTTTAGCTGGCCGTCAGACACTCCATCACGGTACACCACAATCTTCTCTGGGAGACAGTGGTTCACCTGGAATGATACCTACTGAGATGAGAGTGGAGCCCTGAGACTAATGACCAGGCAGTGAGAGACTTACTCAGTGCACAGCTGGGAGATGTAGCAGGAGTGTCAGAAAAGCAGGGGGAAAAACTTTTCGTCATTTTTATACTTCCTCAGGGTAGTAAACAGGTCTGTACAGCAAAGGCATTACAAAATACGAAAGCGAAATAAGCACATTATTAAACACGTGCATATGACTCATACTCAAACAGTGTGAATAAAGTTAGAAGGAAGGTAGGAAAATTGGGGGTTGAGTCAATCTCCTACTACTTGGATTTAACACTAATTACTGTCTAGACCAAGAACAAGGTGAGCTGTTAGAGAAATTCTAACACAGACCACACATCCCACAGACCCACCATTCTCACATTTTTATGTACCAGCAACATCCAAAGTCGCTAACAAGTGAAAAGGGTCCTTTGCTAAATACCATCCTACGACAGGTATAATGTGAAACATTTTTACTATAACTAAGTAATTATCAAACAATCATGGTAAATTGTCCATGGATCCAAGTCAAATTAAATGCTGGCTTGAATCAGTTGGAAGAATAATTTTTGGCTATAATTAAAAAATGGAAAATAAAAACTGTTAATGAGCACATGGAGAAATTGGAACCCTTGTAATTGCTGTTAGGAATGTAAGGTAGTACAGCCAGTGTGGAAAAATTTGGCAGTTCCTGAAAAAGTTAAACACAGAATTACCATATCAGGGTCTAGGTGGAGGTGGGCAAAGGAGGGGAAAATGGGGACATCAGTAATAGTGTCAACAATAAAAATAAAGTTAAAAAAAGAATTATCATATGAACCATCAATTTTACTTCTAGGTATATACCCAAAAGAACTGAATATAGGTACTCTAACAAATACATATATAGGCATCTTCACAGCAGCACTATTCACAGTAGTCAAAAGGTAGGAAGAGTTCAAACGTCCACTAGTGATGAATGGATAAACATACTGTGGAACAAACATGCAGTGTAATACGAGTCATCCATAAAAAGTAATAAAGTACTGATATATGCTACAACTTGGATGAACCTTAAAAACATGCTCGCCCGGCTGGTGTTGCTCAGTGGTTGAACCGGGAGGTCACGGTTTGATTCTGGTCAGGGCACATGCCTGGGTTTTGGGTTCGATCCTCAGAAGGGGGCGTGCAGGTGCAGCTGGCAGATGATTCTTTCTCATCACTGATATTTCTCTCTTTCTCCCTCTCCCTAAATCAATAAAAACATTTTTAAAAAACATGCTCGCCAGCCAACGTGGCTCAGTGGTTGAGCATCAACCTATGATCCAAGAGATGGCAGTTCGATTCCTGATCAGGGCACACGCCCGGGTTTCAGGCTCCATCCCCACTAGGGGGTGTGCAGGAGGCAGCCAATCAATGACTTTCATCACTGATGTTTCTTTTCTTTTTTTTAAATACATCTTTATTGATTTCAGAGAGAGGAAAGGAGAGGGAGACAGACAGAAACATCAATGATGAGAGAGTTACTGATCAAGCCCGCAACCTGGGCAGGTGCTCTGACCAGGAATCGAACCCCAATCACCTGGATCCCAGGTCAACGCTCAACCACTGAGCCACGCCCGGCCGGGCCATCACTGATGTTTCTCTCTCCCTCTCTCCCTCTCCCTTCCTCTCTCTAAAATCCAAAGATATAAAAAAAATAAAAACAAAAAACACACATGCTCAATGAAAGAAGCCAAAAATAAAAGGTCACATATTTTATGATATCTCTATATAATATATCCAAAATGGGCAAACTCATAGACAGAAAACAGAGCAGGTGTTACTAGGAAGGAGGGGGAACAGTGAATGGGGAATAATTACCCTCTTCCAGGATCAGAAAGTGGTTGAAACCAGCAAGTAAACATCCTGATGTGCTTGCTTGGGGCACCTGGGTCCATGAAATGAGTGGACACTGGGGGCTGTAGCAATGCAAAAAAGGGCTGAATCTAGACAAATTTCTCTTGCACCCTCTGAAGTGCAAAATACCACCAAGAACTGTTCTGTCTGCCAAGAGGAGAGACGGAGAATGCAGATGGCTCTTGGGCAGAATCCCTGAGTGGAAAGCCCTGCACAGAGCTGGCAAGTTGGACTAACCTTGGTCACTCCAAGATGCTATACAAATAGTTCCTGAGAAAAACAGACACCTATTCTGGACTGGGCTTTGCATAACTGTTTGTAGATGCCAATGCTCAAAATACTAAAAAAGAACTAAAACAGAAGATACTGCACCAAACTGGCCTGCCAAGTCACATCCAAAGAAGACGCTTTCATTCTCAGCATAACAGTATGACAGAGAATTAGAATAGGCAACTGAAACATTTCATTTCTTGTCTCAAACGGGAGGGAATAAAGGTGTGAGAGTTGGCTTACACGCTTCCGTGAATCTGTACTCACATTCAACATGGGTGGGGTCAAGGAAATGTCCCGTTAAGACAGATTCCTCCCCTTCTCTAAAGGACCTAGAGAAGGGGCTGGGGTGGGGACAATGCAGGTATAACAAAACTTTTCTAGTCTCTTGAAACTGCCTCTCCCTAGCCAAACCAACCAGAAGCCAGAGGGCAAGGAAGTCAATGATGCAATCAACATGGGCCAACCTTCCAGGGCACAGAGCAGGGTGGAAAGAGGTTGGGAGGAAAGCTGGAAGAGCAAATGGAAAATATTCAATAGTTTCTCTTCAAGACAAGAATCAGCGACTGCATTCTACAGGTTAAGAAGTTCAAGAATAATGATCAGAGATAAATACCAGGCAGGATAGTAAAAAGCTAGGGAAATTCTTTGGCAAGTGGGATGGGGAAACTGAGACAGATAGCTGAACAAACTGGTCGAGCAATTTACAGCCAGATACAGGTCACCAGGGCGGAAAGCCCTGGGTGCCTAGCAACAGGGAAAACTGGCTACCAACCTTGCACCTGGGTGGCCTTTCCTCCCGACATAAAAAACTAAAAAAACCCCCACAATACTTTGTTTTCCCCCACATGAATGTAACACTCTTTCCTACCTGATGGAGTGGTTCTTGGATCAGGGCTGCAACTGCATGTGCCAGAAGCTGGACATGTATTCATTTGCTAGAGCTGCTGTAATGAAGTACCACCAACTGGGTGGCTTAAACAACAGAAATGTATTATCACCCAGGGCTGGAGGCTAGAAGTCCAAAATCAAGGCACTGGCAGCAGTGGCTATTTCTGAGGCCTGTGAGAGTCTTCCATGACTTCCTCCTAGATCCTGGTTGCCTCAGGTGTTCCTTGGCTTGTAGATTGTGATCTCCCTATGTCTTCACATTGTCTTTCCTCTACATGTGTTTGTCCCTGTGTCCAAATCTCCTCTTTTCATAAGGACACAGTCATATTGGATTAGGGCCCCCTCTAATGACCTCACCTTAACTGGATAATCTGAAAAGACCCTACTTCCAAGTAAGGTTACAGTCACTGGTAGGACTTAAACATCTTTTGGGGGTGGGGGCACAATTCAACCTGTAACAATCTCTAAGCAGGAAACTTTATATTTTTAAATATTTATGTTAGAGTTTCCTAAGCGCCTAATGGTGCTTTCACCCTCTCTGGCAAAACTGAAGTTTGCTGGCTCCTCCAAATGTTAGACATTCATAATGATACTACTCAACAAACAGAATGCAGTGGAACTGATACTGCATGACTTTCCAAGCTAAGGTATAAAAGGTGACATGGCCCAGCTGGGCGTGGCTGAGCGGTTGAGTGTCGACCTAGGATCCAGGAGATTGGGGTTTGATTGAAGGCTCGATCCCCAGTTGGGGGCGTGCAGAAGGCGGTCGATCAATGGCTCTTTCATCATTGATGTTTCTGTCTCTCTCTCCCCCTCTCCTTTCCTCTCTCTGAAATCAATAAAGA